TGTTTTGTGTTGATGAGGCGGATGGCAGAACCTAGAGCATGCAGGTTTGCAGGGTCTAGAGTGCCCCTCTCCCTGTCCTATAATACCCTAAGCAGTGCATTTCAGTAGATCCACCTGCTCTGTTCCCCACTCGGTCTCTAGTGAATCCTCTCACCCCCCACACCTCTGGACAACACCCGAGTTCTTCTATGCAAAATAAGCAAATAAAATAAATATTTAAAAAAGAAGGGTTACTTAAAAATAATAATGAATGATAAAAGAAATAAAATAAGAACTACTCTCTTAGCAAATATGTAAGTGTACAATGCAGTATTAGAACTACAGGCCCTGGTCGGGCCACAGAGTTACATTTTTAATGAAATTTACTAAGATGTAGAAAGGGAACACACTCAATAGGGACACAGACAAGTGTTCAGCACCAGACTCTGAGCTCTGTGTCCACATTATTCTGAAACCAGGGCCAGCTGCCTGGGGACCTGCACCCTCCCTGGATGGACCAGCCTCAGCCCCTCCAGACCCTCCTTCCCCACATCTCCCAGGTTCCACCCCAGGGCCCTGGCCTTACCCTCCAGGTCTCCTCTGTCCCTCAGCCCCTCCCTCCCCTTGCCCCTGCACTGCTCTCATCATGGCTTCTGCCCCCTGCATAGCAGAGACCAGCTCCTATGAGGAAGAAGCAGCCTCACTCTCCCTGTCAATCAGCTCTGCTCCTTCCTCCTGGAGCTGCCCCTGCATCAGGAGGAGGGAGACCGAGAGGTGAACAGTTCACAGAGGATGAGGGACAAGCCCTGCCCAAGACTCTGGGGACATGGATTCTGGGGCTCAGCTGAGGGTGGACAAGCTCCTGAGGTGAAAAGGACCATGAGTGTCAGATGAGCAGCTTCAGTCTAGACCCAGTGTCTACCCTGTCCTGTCTAGGGCCTGGTTTCTCCTCCTCTCCTCAGGCTGCTCCTCATTTCCCCTTAGGGAAGGGGAAGTCAGCTATGTTATACATTTCAGTCTTTCATGTTTTAATTTAGTAGCAATAGATTTTTAAGGTATTTTCTTTAAAATTATCTAAAATAAGAGGTTTTCAGGGCCTCCCTGGTGGTGCAAGGGGATAAGATGCAACCTATGAAGCTGTCCGCAGCCACTGTAGCACGAGTTGGATCCCCAGCTGGCCAGGGAGCAACCCACATGGCACAGCAGACCTCTCCTGACTTGCCCGCTGCTTCCCTCAGCAGTGTGTTTCAGTAGATCTCTGTTCTGCTCCCCACTCTGTCTCTGGTGAATCCTCTCACCCCCTGCATCTCTGACCTGTACCCCAGATCTTATATGCATAAATGAATAAATTGTTTAAAAAATTAAATAAAATAAGGTTTTCTACTATAATGAAATAAAGATTTCCTTATTTTTTTTAAATATTTATTTATGCATACAAGAGCTGGGGTGCAGGCCAGAGGTGTTGGGGGTGACAGGATTCACTAGAGACAGAGTAGGGTCAGAACAGGCAGATGTACTGAAATACACTGCTGAGGGGAGCAGTGGTCAAGACAGAAGAGGTCTCCTAGGCCATGTGAGTCACCTCCCTGGCCAGAGATCAAACACACAGTAGCTGGCAATAGCATGAAAGCACTGAGCCTTTAACCCCTGCGCCACCAGGGAGGCCCTAAAATAAATGTTTCTTTAAAAAAGCACTGTTTTTAAAGTAAGAAATGTTATATGTATTTCAGGAAGTTATTAACATGACTCTCAGATAAATATATAAATAATTTATTCAGTCAATTTATGAGTGATTGTAACAGGGTGGTCCCCAGGAAAAGGGCAAGTTCCAGGTTCCCAGCCCCACCCAAGGGAGGGTGGAGCTGAGCAGGGAAGAGAAGAAGCAGAAAAGGAGACTGAGGAAAGAAGGAAGCAGGATGGAGAGCAAGAAGGAGACCTGGAGGAGGCACATGGAGCAGAGACATGTGAAGAAACTATACTTGCCTTTTGGACCTGGACTAGTTGAAACAGATGTGGGTGAGAGATCAGTGGGGAGGATAACAATGACAGATTTTATCTTCATTTTGATTTTGTTCTTTTCCTCCCAGACTTGTCTGGTTGTTTCTGACCCTTTTCTGTGGGTCCCCACTGGAAGATGCTTTAGACTTGTGACAGGCTTTGGAGCCTGTTGCGTCAAGACAACACCACACTGACAAACGGGAGTCGTGGAGCAGGCTACATAATGCAGGATGCTGCTGAAGAGCAAGATCCTGGCCCTTTTATTGACACACATAATTGGTTTTTAGGAGATTAGGGAGATTAAGGAAAGGGGATGGGTGTAGAAGATTAGGGATTGTGAGTCTGCCCTTCAGGCACTTCTAATCTACTTGATGCTACACCCTAATCCCCAGCCATGGTTCTAATCTTATCAACAAGGCTCTCCACTGATCAGCTTCTGGGGTCCCTTGTCATACATTGGTCCTCGACCGGGCATTCCCGGTCATACCTCGTGATGTGTAAGTCAGGAGTATATGTTATGCAGCGGTCCTCAGCCCCCGGGCATTCTGGACATACCTCGTAATGCATAACCTTCCCAGTGTGATCCAGCTTTGTTTTTTTGTTTGATCTGAAGGGCGTAAGGGTTTGGGCTCCTGTTCCTAACTGGCTGGACCACTTTGACCTTGTTTAGGTGACAAAATAGCGGCCGAATAGGCTGCCTAGGAGTAGCAGACCCACAGGGGCCTTGCTCTGGGCCAATCTCATTTGGGTGGACTTTTACCCAAGAGGAGACGGGTAACTTTGGTTTCTTCATTGAGAAACTATATTCTTTGTCTTTTCTGTATTGTTCTCTACTTGTATTTAAGTTCCTGTCCATTAAAGTCTTACATGTTTTGTATTGATGCAGTGGATGACAGAACATATTTAGAGTAGGCAGGTTAGTGGGGCCTGGGGTGCCCTTCTCCCTCTCCTATAACACGATGAACTGCAACCTGCTATAGAAGATTGCAACTTGCTACAAAGAGGAACTTGAAGAATATGTTCTTATTTTCCAGCAGGAAATGCATTTTTAATAAATATCCTGAAAATAAATTTTTAATTTAAAAAAGAAAGTAAGATGCTGAGATAAACGGGAAATTATCTTTTTGACCAAACAGTGTGTAACTTCATAGTAAACACATCCTTAGTTAATGATGAAGCCCAAGTCAAATCTTACACATTTCCTGAACAATTACATGAATTTATTTCCAATAATATAATCTCTGTATTGACACCGAAAATTCATGACACTCAACTTTTTGCCTAATTAAGTTTTTAATAGATTTTCATGAAAATAGAAGGAAAAATTTCATGAATAGTAGTTGAGGGAGAACCAACAGATGATAAATTTAAAAAATGACAAATACATCCCATTGTAGGTTCCAGAAGAAAAGCAGCACGACCAGGAGAGACGAGTGTCCTTGGCTGTGACCGGAGTGTCCCCTCCAGGGCTCATCACTGACACTGTGCAGGTGGCTAAGAGGACACTCTCCTGAGGTTCAGCTCCAGGTTCACACAGGAGGGCACTTGAGGGAATGTGGGCCAGAAAGTGATAGATGGGTGATGGGAAAGTCCACACTTCGGACTACTTAGCTCCTTATACATAAGTCATACACATCTGAACATCCACACAACACAACTGTGTATTTCTAACTATCAATGGGTTTCCTTTACAAATGAACAGGTACTTCCTTTCTCCAAAATTAGGAAACAGACAGCCCCTATCTTCATAGCTAGCATATTATATCATTTACTTCTCAAATTTAATCATATTACCTTTGTCTACTTTGTTACCTGAAAACGCTGTATTAAGCATTATGTCCAACAACTTGTATAACAGCATAAGGGTAAGAAGAGAGAGGAAGAAAATGTATATTAAACACAAATTAATAAAAATGCTAGGAAAAGCAAAGGTATCAACCTATTATAAACCTTTTTCTGTACTGGGCTGATCCATGACTGACATCTGACTCCTCCCCCGTTCCACTTCTCCATCTCTCACCAGATCCAAGTCAAGGTCCCCTGGGGGAGGATCACACCTTCCTTCCTACAGGTCTGGTGCTCAGGATCCTGCTTCCTCTGGCAGCTGTGGTGCCCATGACCCTTTGCCACAGGATGTGGAAGGACCCAGTCAGCACAGGGACACCTGGACCTCAGGCTCCAGCTCCCAAGTCACCCCAAGTCTGAAAGTCTCCTCTTCATTCTCATCGTAATTCAGGGAGCAATTCTCTCCTTTCAATGGGTATGGACATAAAAGGGAACCCAAATGATTATCTGAATTCCGCGCATTAATATACTATAAAATTTTTACAAATAACAGAAATTTTATGAGGTTTTGGAAAGTAAGTATATTTCTTTCATTCCAGGATAAGAAGCAGATAAAATAGGATGTTAGGCTCCTCTAAAAGTTCTTTATCCACTATTTCCCTGAAAAAGTTGGATAGCCAAGCATTCTGCTCAGATAGCCAAGGCCGCACAAAATAGATGTAGGGACTTTCCTTCACACTCTGGGTTCCTCCACACGAACTCAAGTTGGATAAAATAAACTCAAATTAATTTAGGAGAATAATTCAGAATTCATTCCATTTCTTGTGCAGACAGCATGAAAATTCCATGAAATATTTTCTTTACCAAAAGAAGAGTGATTTGCATGGCAAAATTCATCCCTACTCCAAATCAATTCAAAGTCAGTCAAATCTATCCTTTGTGGCCTCACCACAAGGCCTGATCTGACTGTTCTCTCAGCCACGGCCCAGGAATCTGCACCCAGAGCAGGAGGACGAGACTCCAGAATCTGGGATTCACTCACAGGTTTGTCCACAGGGAAACTGCAGCTCCAAGAAAAGCCCAGGGCACGGCTGGGCAGAGAAGGGCCTCATGGGGACACGGTCTCAGGGGCTCAGGGGAGGAGGGGGTTTCAGGCCCTGGGGGAGCCCCATCCACACCAGAGCCTGAGCGGGTCCCCTCCCCTGAGGGACCCACAGGCTCTCCCACAGAAGGAGGATTGTTCATGGGCACAGAGGGCTTCTGGGGCCCAGCCTCCAGGGGACAGAGGGTCATGGACACGTCTCCAAAATAACAGATGAAGTATGGAAGGAAATTCCCAGAGAAGGACTCAGGAGGGAAGGAGAAAATGTGGGAGCCATCAGTCATGTCATAGAAAGAGACGTCCCCTTGATCATAGTCCAGGAAAACCCCCACCCTGTAGGGAAACTGCCTAAGGGATAGCCAAGTATAAGGGCTAGTATAGGCCGCAAAGCCTTGTGGGAACCTCCCTACAACCCTGAACCCATTCAGGGGTTCACATTGTTGTATCTCATTTTCTCATCTTCCTTCCAGACCCCCAGTCCCCATTTGCTTCTGTCTCCACTCCTGACTTCTACTTCCCAGTAACAGCGCCCTGATGTGATGCCCTCAAGACCTAAAGCAGACAATCCTTTTAATATATGATCAAGTCTACAGGTCAGACTCTTCTTGTCATGAGAGACATCAATTCCAGTATGGGAAGAATCTGGATCCAGAGTGACAGACCCTGCAGAGAGAGGAACCCATTATGCAAGGCCCCCTGCCCCATGACAAGGGCACATACCTCCTTACCCCAGATACTTAGTTGTATATGGGGAGGGATATGGTCCCTGAAATGAGAGAATTTTGCCTCCAGCCCACAATCTCCCAAGCATGAAAAAGATTCACAAGACTTATTGGTGGTCAGATATATTACAGGACCCCTGGACCAGTCTGGGCTCCCCTTCAGCACCCATGACCAGTCACTCCCCAGGCCAGCTGTGTGACGTCACAGCTGCACCCACCCCACCCCCATGGAGAGTTCAGAGTCTGTGTCTACACAGAAAACAGAAGGAAAGGCCAGAAGCTGAGCAGCCCCAGAGAGAACAGAGTCACTCACAGGCCCGGAACTGCTCCTTCCGCCAATCTGCAAGAGACACACATGTCACGTGAGGGACTCTAGATACTCACACATCAGGGCCCACACCTATTTTTCTACAAGAGAGGGACACAGAATTCATAGGGAAAAGTATGTCGAAACATTTAATTGATGCATTTAACTTTTAGATTCACAGATACAAATACACACACACACACACACACACACACACAGTTGTTATGTTGCAAATTTCCCATGAAAGTTAAGCCATAAGCTTAATACTCAGGGACTGAGAGGCTGGATACCAACAGAACAGAAAGAGCTCTACTAGATATGACCATCAAATTATACTTTTGAAGTCACCAAACACAAACCCATTCTGGAAACAAGGTTTTCTTGAATAGGTTCTGTGGAGATCAAAATGCCAAGGACTATCTATGTACTTATGAAGACCTACTAGAATTGAATGTGCAGCTTCTCTCTAAGCCAAGGGTAATAGAGCTACAATCAAGCCCATGCCTGTGTGTGGCTTGATCAAAGGCCTGTGGAAGCCTGGAAACATGGAGGCTGGAAGGCAGAGCTTTCATTTTTTTTTTTTTTAAGATTTATTTATTTTTTCATACAATAACTGGGTACAGGCCAGAGGTGCAGGGGGTGAGAGGATTCACCAGAGACAGAGCGGGGAACAGAACAGGCAGATTGACTAAAATACACTGCTGAGGGGAGCAGCAGGCAAGTCAGGAGAGGTCTGTCACTCCATGTGGGTATCTCCCTGGTTGGGGCTCAAACTCATGCTGCAGTAGCTTCAGATTGCTTCATAGTGCTGTGTCTTAACCCCTTTCGCCACCAGGGAGGCCCATAAGTGAGCTTTTCATTTTGATTCTAAATAAATCAATTTTTCAAAGAGAAAAATACAACGTGACTGGCTGCACATGGAAGTGACTGTGACATGAGTGAGGAGACTCAGGACACTCAGCAGAGGGTCCTGACCACTTGGGAGGGGGTGGAGAGGAGTCTAGAGGGAGAGAGACATGCAGAGTAGGGACATGGACACACACTGAGAAGATCAAACACTAGTAACATCTCCATACATTTGTGTGGATGCTGGGAACAAAATCATTCCTATAGAGAACACAAATATTAGATGGACTCATCTGATTCCTCAAAGAATAGATTAGAGAGATAGAAGCTTCCAAGAATAACTTCTGTCTCAGCAAAATAACAGCTCCAGAGATGTCAATTTTCTAAGCCAGTAACCCTGTCAATATGTCCTCAGCAGAGGAAAGAGAAATCTGCAGGTGGGACAGAGACGGGACCTGGAAACAGGGACATTATTGAGGATCATACAGGTAGAACCAATCACATGAACCCCAATAGCCATGACCCCTGCACCTGTGCTCAGAGACAGTCACATGGTGACAGCAGCAGGGCCATAAAGAGGCTGCAGGGCAGGCTGTGTAGACAGAGGATGGGGGTCCCCAGTCAAAGTAGGGAGGCCCTAGATCCTGGGAGAGGAAGGGGCACCTGGAAGGAAAGACCTGCCAGACCCTGGAGTTAGTCCCAGGACTTGGTCTCAGGTGTCTGCCCTGCAGGAGTGTGAGATGATAAACTGTGTGGGTGACGCTGCTCAGGGTGTGGTGATGTGTGTCAGCAGCAGCTGGAGCTCTGATGCCTCATGTGGGGGCCCAGGCAGGTGAGCAGGGCTGTGGCAGGGGAGGGTCTGGAGGGACCACCAGGACCCCATGATGCAGGTGGAGTGATGAGGACCCAGAGGTGTCACCTGCTCTGGGGAGATGGAGGGAGAGAGAGGGGCCTGGAGAGCAGGCAGGGAGGGAAGGACGGGTGAGGAGAGGAGGACAAGGATGTGGGACAGGAGGAAGGAACCAGGAGGTTCATCAATTTGCTGACCAGAGACAGACCCAGACCCAGACTCTGCTGTAGAGGGAGGGTCATCCACAGCCCTAATGACCAGATGGGACATGCCCTGCCCCCCTCAGCATATGCTACACAGGATCATAAACCAGTGGCCCCAGAGGAGACCTTGAAATGACTGAAAGGGGAGAACAGGCCCCTCTCCCTCAGCACCCTAAGGCCATGTCAACCCCCACTCCACACCTGCCTGGGAAGGAGGAAGCAGGTCATTCCCCAACACTCAGGTCAGACACAGCAAGACTCTGAGAGGACTTCAGGGAGAGCTTGAGTCTCCCAACTGTGTGACGAGAGAGAGGGAGAAAGGGGAATTTGGGATCCACATTTATAGGCAAAAGGAACATTTTCTTGTACACATTGTGTATAAATGTGTGGCACCAACCACACCTACACAGGGTCACACAGAGAAGCAGGCATTTTGGTCTTTGTTGAGTTGCTTGATAAGAAACAAGATCACAAGCAATGCTTGGGCTGACCCAGCCCAATTTCCTCTTTGAGGAAAAATGATGTTTTAAAATTACTTGTTTTCACTGAGATATTAACGGACATCTAATATAATGCTGAACACTATACTTCTTTCATACAACAATAAAAAAGAGGTAGTGGAGGAGAACAGGAACAGGAGCAGTAGGAACAAAAGGAGAAAATGGAAGTGACACTTAATTTGAGACAGCATGTCAGGCACTGTGTATGCACTGCACTGCACTAGCCAGTTAATTTTATGGAAAAACTTTAAGTCAAAATCTTTGTTACTGGGGCCTCCCTGGTGGAGCAGCAGGTTGAGGTAATGCTGTGAAGTGCTCTGCAGCCTCTGCAACGCAGGTTCAATACCTGGCCAGCCAGGGAGATACCCACATGGTGTGGCAGAGACGGCTTCTGTCTCTCCTGCTGCTCCCCTCAGCAGTGTGTTTCCGTCCATCTGACTGTTCTGCTCCCCGCTCTGTCTCTGGTGAATTCTCTCACCCTCCCATGCCTCTAGCCTATACTCCAGTTCGTGTATAAAAAAAAAAAAAATCTTTAAAAAAAAAAAAAACTTTGTTAAATTTTGTAAATAACACGAGATCGCACAAGTTTCCATCTGTGAAACTGTCAATATCAAAATGTTGATTCTAGTGTATTAATGGTGTTTCATTCATAATGGTGATTTAAAAACACCATTCTTTTTGCATACCAAAGAAAAGTTTATGTCAAAATGCATGAGACATAAACTCGGCCGAGGCTGGAATGGTGGTGAAGACAACTCTATGATCCTCACTGTGTGGAAATCAATCCCCAGGAGAACCAGGGAGACTCTCAGGAGGGTCCTCACACTCCTGGTTCCGAGACGCCTACCCTACAACGGCCCTCTCTTGGCTCAGGGTCTGTGTCCAAGACTATAAACAAACTCCTGAGCAGGGAAAGGTTGTGTGACTCAGGCTCACAAGGCTCAGATCTCCCCTCACCAGCATCAATGACCTTCCCTGCAGGACCCAGGCAGACCCTGATCTGGGGCAGAGTAGGAGAAGGGAGGGAGGACGGGGAGTGATGGGGAGGGGAAGAGAGAACTCATATCAGAGGCAATTCAATTAGATGGTCACCTCAAGAATGGGTTTTAAAGTGTAAGTTTATCTGAAATATTTCAAAAAACGCCCACTGTATTTTATTTCCAAGCCTTTCATGGCATCCACACAGCACAATTCAAACATGGTGATGTGCCCTGTGACTTCTCCTCAGGCCCTAGAAGGCTCTCCTCAGCTCTAGAAGGCTCTTCTTCCAAACATGCCTCTATTTCCCACTCTCTTTTCTACATCTAGACTTTTCTTTCAAATTTCTCCCATATTCTTTGGAAATGGATTATAACCATTCAAGATTTGTTCTTTTCCAATTACATAATTACCCCATTAAAAAAATAAATCTAATTATCAGCATCCATCAGACATTCAGAAAGAGAATTCTCCTAAAAAAACAAAGCGATGGTTCTGACAAATCATACATTGTTTATCTTGTTACAAAGGCACACAAATATATATACACACAGAGGATTTTACATGTAATTTCAGATCTTTAACAGGCCCCACACAGAAGTCACAAACGTCCCAGAAGCTATGACATAGAGTCAGCAAACCAGCTCTAAAGCAACTGATTCCTCAGCAACCAAAAGGCTTAGAGGGAAAATCCAGCTTGACATGGAGCAGAGCATGAGGAGACAGAGAACCAAGAGAAAACAGGGATTTTGGATCCAGCAGGATCCATAAGCAAGGACCCCGCCCCCCCCTTAGCAAGACCTGACTCCTAAGCAAGAAGCAGATTGTCTGGAATCTTTCAGACACCTGCAATTCCTGACCCACACACTTGTCCCTGCTGCAGCCTCCCCTCATACTGACCCCCACTGTCCTCACCCACAGGAAGGACCAGGTGACAAGGGGTCAGAGGGTGTCCTGACCCCACATGACCTGCAGGGAGGACAGGGCAGGTGGAGGCAGGTCTGGGCTCACAAGGGGGCCCCTGCAGTTCTCAGATGGAGGCTCCAGAGTGAGAGGAGACCAGGGACCCCAGGTCCTTCCTGGTGGGGTCCCTGATAGAGAAGGGGCAGAGGAGAGGCTGGGAGGGTTCCCAGGCCCCTCAGGGCCACTCACCTGCATACAGCTGGGCCTTCCTCCAGGCTGAAAGGGAATACACAGGGGAGACCTCAGCACAACCAGCTGCTCATGTGACCCAAGGGCCCTGGGATCCCCCTGTTCTACAGATGAGATGCTCTCTGGGGGATGGAGGGGAGAGGCTGAGAAGTCATGACCTCCTGCCCCGTGCAGACAGCAGGGGGTGGTGGGAAATCCCTGGCTCAGGTCAGGAGCCTGCAGGACAGACTGACCCAGCCCTGCCTGCTGCTGCTGTGGGGCTTTGGCAAGTCACTGAGCGGCTCTGGGCACCACAAAGCTCCTGTTTCATTTGCTGTTCACTTTTGATACACAGAATCAAAAGCAATAAAAGATAAGATATCTTTAAATGTATATATTAGTCTGTAATTATTATATTCATTATTTCTGCAAATATATCTGGGAAATTTACATGAAGATAAAATAGGAACACAACATGTACATCACACCAACTCAAGTGTAGAAGTAGCTCATCTTCTCAGATGAAGTATTTCTAGATAAACACTCTCTGGGAGATGGAAAGTCCTCTCACCCCCTCCCTTGCAGTATGACCCCATCCTCTCACATCACTATTGATCAGCATCTTCAGGAACCAAAAGAACAGATTCTCCTTGGGTGGGTTGTGAGGAGAGAGGAAAGAATGAGGTTACATTCCTAAATTTAAAGAGCCCATTGATCTATGAAATTTCAGAGCAGCAGGCTTCTGCTTCCAGGTGCTGACCAAGAACGAGATGCACTGAATGCCAGAAAGCCAGCATCATGGTGGGAATGTTCAGGGCTGGAATGAGACTAGGATGCAGGAGACTCCAGGGGTCACCACCTCACCAGGATCCCAAGACTAGGAGGGAAACAGCGCCCAGATCTGAGAGAGCCTGTGGAACAGGGTCCTGCCTCCCACCCACTCCCACTTCTACCTCAGGGAAGGGTCCACATGTCTATGCTTAGACAGCCAAGGGGAGGGACCCCTGAGCACAGGGACCTCTGGAGCATCACTCACCAGCCAGGTAAGCTGCCTTCTTCTGGTCTGAAAAACAACACAGGAAACAGGTGAGCAAAGAAAGAGAACGTCTCCTATGAAGGGGACAGTGAGACCAGGAGGGAGAGCAGAGCTTACCTAGAATTACCTGGAGTTCATCTGAAAGAGAGTGAAAATTATAAGAATAAACTGTCCCTAAGAACAAAATTTGTGCCTAGAGAAGCCACAAAAACAAAACTCTGTGTGTCCTAGAATTTCCACCTTCAGACCAAACTGAGCCTCCAAACTACACTGTCCTCTCTGGGACTCAGCACCTGCTTGATCTCCCTGCAGAGTGGACGCTGGGCTCTGGCTCTGTGGTCAACTTGTCCCTCTCAGAACCCACTGCCCTTCTCAATAAACCAGGCCCTGCAATGCCTTACCTCTGTCCCTTAGGGCCTCCTCCTTTGTCTCTCGGTCCTTCTCCTTAGCTTGATGTAGGTTCCTCTGTTCCTGCAGCTCCCGCATCTGTGTGGAATGTTCTCTCTGGGTGTAGCAGGCAGCCCCCAGGAGCAGGAGCAGCAGCAAGGGCAGGCTCACCAGGAAAGCTGGTTTCCAGGGAGAGGCCTAGGGGAAGAAGGGCTCTGCAGACAGAGACCCCACAGAGACCCCATCAGGACACAGCCCAGGACAGCCCAGCCCAGCACACCTGGGGGTGCCAGCCCCTCCCTCTGACTCTCAGGGAGTGGGGAGGGGAGCAGAGATGACCTGGGATGACAATGGCCATGGCCTTCTCCTGGTGCAGGACTGGGTTGAGGATGGAGCAGGTCACGTTCCCCACAGAGCTGTCTCTCACCACCAGAGCAGACTCCACGCTGAAGAGCCCTTTAGTATCCTTGGGGTAGGCTGTAGAAAACTCCATGAACTCCTCCCCATGGGGGTCTCTCCACTTAACCTGGGGTTCTGGGAACCAGCCTGAGGCCATGCACACCACGTGCACCCCGTCCTCCTCTGGCCCTGTGATATGCACTTGGGGGGCAGAGCCCACACCTGTGGAGGGAAGATGAGAGCCAGGTGGGACAGGACCCTTCTGTGCACAACTCCAGGGCAGTCTTTTAAGATGCATTCTGGGGTGTCTGGAGGTAGTCCACCCCTGGGGGAGCAAGAAGACCACAATGACATGCTATTCTTTACCTTTCTAGCTATTATTATTATTTTTTAAAGATTTATTTATTTATGCATACAAGAACTGGGATACAGGCCAGAGGTGTAGGGGTGAGAGGATTCACCAGAGACAGAGTGGGGAACAGAACAGGTAGATCTACTGAAATATAGTGCTGAGGGGAGCAGCAGGCGAGAAAGGAGAGGTCTGCTGTGCCATGTGGGTAGCTCACTGGCTGGCCAGAGATCAAACTCCTGCTGCAGAGGCTGTGGATAGCTTCACAGTGCTGTGCCACCAGGGAGGCCCTCTACCTATTATTTTTATAATTATATAACATGTTCAAATCTTTGTAGAGTTCTTTTCTAGTTAGAAGAGTATATTCATAATATGATTCATAAACAGCTGTATTTTCTCATTTGTCACCAACATCTCAGCCACCACAGTGCAGCTTCCCCTTCTATTCCATTCTGTTCTTGGTGAGTCAACAAAAGTCTGCCATTTGACCAATACCCCAATATCCACAGTCCTCTCCTGTAGTCTCCTTCAGTGCAGGGTACTCCTGACCTCATCTTCAAATCACCTCCATCTTGGTTTGGTTTCCTTTCTCTTGAGGGTAGTTGTTGCAATCTGGAACCCCCTGAGGGGCCCTTTCCTGATTTATCTCCCACCACCTGCCCTTGAAGCCAGCACAGTCCCAGGATTCAGTCCTTAAAGCCCATCTTTTTTTTTTTTTTTTTTAAAAAGAGATTTATTTATTTATAGAAGAACTGGGGAACTGGCCAGAGGTGTGGGAGGATGAAAGAATTCACCAGAGACAGAGCAGGGAGCAGAACAGGCAGACAGACAAACACTGGGAGAGGAGAAGCAGGCGAGACAGGAGAGGTCTGCTGTGCCATGTGGGTATCTCCTGTCTGGCCGGGAATCAAACCGGCACTATAGAGATTGTGGACAGCTTCACAGCACTGTGCTCAACCTGCTGGGCCACTAGGGAGGCCCCTAAAGCCCATTTTATCTCACACCCTCTCCCAGGGAATCTTTTCCCACAGCTTCTGTGTCTTTTTACATATCATTTCCAAATATCAACTCACCAGGCTCCTTAACTTTCTCTTTCTTATAGCTCCATCCCTGTGGATTACATCTGCCAGGATTCCTCACATGCTCTTCAAACTCAAGATTCTACATCTGAATTCATGCTTTTGTCTCATCGGAGGTAAATTAGTAATAAAAATATGCCTAATTCATCATGCTTCTTCACACTGCCATGTACATTTTAGTTCCCATGACTGGGTTCGGTCATGTGACTTCATGTGCCTAATGACAGATCAGCTTATGTAACTCAGCAGAGTTACTCTGATCGTTCCTGACGATCAGAAAAAAAAAAAGTGCTGGTGATCAGAACCCTGCTACCCTCCCCCACCCACAAAGCCAGCACCCTCTGACCAACAGAAAAGAGAAAAACAAAAACCAAGAACAAACAAGAGACCAAGCAGGACAGTGAGTGGAAAGGAACTACTGCAGGCACTGTACCCTGTGACCAGGAACTGTGGAGAACCTTGCAGGAATCAAGACAGAGGTGAATGAACTGCACCAGGTAATCACAAACTTGGTGCCATTAGAGGAAAAGAAGAAGTCTGTGGAGAGACCTGCAAATAGCCAAAGGCCAGCCAGTAAGTTTATGTGGAAAAGCACACATGTGTGCTTGAAAAGCATACGTGGATCACAACTGCCCAGGTCCTCATGTGCCCACAACTGAGGTTTATGGGGAAATTCATGGGGGCCTTCACTCAGATGAATGACCCTCACTGAGTAATCAAAAACCAGGCGCCCAGGCATGGGAGTGAGGTACAAAAGATGCCATTTCTGCGGACACTGAACTGGGCTACCACCTATCCCAGATCTGAGGGTTTCAGAACTGAGAACTGGGGCATGAAATTTGGAGTATGGGATCCCCAAGACATGGGGCACAGGGCGGACACAGCACCCCCACGCCATTGAGGCATTCCATGCCACCCCCATTCAGTTCCCTGGAGACCCATGGGGAAAAAGTAGTTTTGGAAGGATACTAGGAAAGATCTCTGGTGCCACCTACCACCTACTGATCACAACAAAATCACCAACTTCCTGATGGAAGCCAGGGATTCTAAAACCACCCTCAGTCTCTAAGAGGGGGAGGGCCATGCAAACGAGGATAAGAAGGGAAACAAGGCTGGAGCAAGACCCCATTCTGGAACTGAAAGCCAGGCACAGGATCCAGGGCATGGGACGTGCCATTACAGTGGGCACTGCATAGGGTGACAGCCAGCATTTTGGATCTGCTAGCCCTGGAATTGAGAACTAGAGCACATAATTCAGGGCACTGATTCCACACAGCTGTGGACACAGCACCTGGTGAACATGGGGCAGACACAGCACCCAGCTTGAACAATTGCCCCTGTGTTGAGGTGCTCCCCTCCACTCCTCCATTTCTCAGAGAGCTACTGAGGAAAATCACAGGTCAGCAAGTACAGTTCTTTGGTGTCAACTAGTGACCAGAAAAAAATCACTAACTAGCTGATTCCCTGCAGGAACTGAGTAAATGTAAGTGACAGTGCCCAACAACACAGCCACAGCATCAAAACCCTGGTGGAATTTTGACCTAACGGTACTGGACTCAGTCTGGTAAACAATTTCCAACACCACTTTGCAGAGCACTGCAAAGAGATGCCTGCCAACACCAGTGGCACAATGTCCCAATGCATACAAATAATTAGAAAGCAAACAGCAGGGAGAAGGAAACATACAAATAACCAAGAAAGCACACAGGGGAAGAACACAACACAAAAAGAAAAACAGTCACCAGAGCTCAACAATGACATGGAAAAACTTCTCTGCCTATCAGAGAATTAGTAGTCATCATGATTAAAAAGTGTAAAGAAAGCGAAAAGGAAAATAATGATATGAGACAAATAATCAATGAACTGAAGACGAAATCAAGACCTTAAGAAATGTAATAAAAGAAACACAGGAGGGCCTCCCTGGCAGTGCAGAGGTTGAGCACTGGGCTGTGAAGCTGCCCATAGCCTCTGCAGCGCTGGTTCGATCCCTGGCCGCCGGCGAGGGTCCCGCATGGTGCACAGACATCTCCTGCCACACCTGCTGCTCCCCTCAGCAGTGTACTTCGTCAGTCTGCCTGCTCTGCTCTCCCCTCTGGTTCTGGTGAATTCTCTCACCCTCCCGTGCTTCTGACGGTACCCAGTGCTTGTATAAATAAATAAATAAATCTTAAAAAAAAGACCAAGGTTATTAAAAAAAAAGAAACAGGAGATTAAAAGATCATAGGAGGAGATAAAGAACTCTGGGAAAAGCATGAAAACAGAATCAATGAAATGGAAGAATGGATCAGTACTCTCAAAGATACAGATATAAAAAGAACCAAAAGAGAAAAGGAGAGAGAAGTTCAAAGGAAGGAGAATGAGGACAATCTTTAACAATTACCAGACTCCATGAAGAGAGGAAATGTAAGTTGTATGCATTCCAGAAGGTGAGGAGAGAGACAAAGGAACTGAAAATTTTTCAAGGAGGTGATTGAAGAAAACTTTCCAAGCATGAAAAAAGAGACTAATATGGACATACAAGAAGGGAGAAGAACTCTCAGTTACCAGAATGAAAAGTAAACCACAGCAAGACACATAATAGTAAAGCTTGCAAAAGTCCAAGACAAGCTAAAAATAATAAAACTGGCAAGGGGGAAGAAACAGACAACTTCTAAGGGAAAACAAATCAGGTTAACTTCTGACTTTCCAAAGAAACACTGCGGGCAAGAAGAGAATGGAGTAACATGTTAAACAAATTTCAAGATAATAAATGCCAACCAAGAATGCTTTACCCTGCAAAGCTCTCCTTCCTCTATGAAGAAAAAATATGGACCTTCTCAGATAAACAGAAACTCCAGAAGTTCTTTACAACTAAACCTCCACTCCAAAATTTCTACAAGAAGTCTTTTTATTTATTTATTTATTTATTTATTTATTTATGCAAGCACTGGGTACAGTCAGAAGCGCGGGAGGGTGAGAGAATTCACCAGAGCCAGAGCAGGGAGCAGAGCAGGCAGAAGGACCGAAGTACACTGCTGAAGGGGGCAGCGGGTGGCAGGAGAGGTCTGCGCGCCATGTGGGACCCTCCTTCAGTGGCTGGGGAGCAGCCAGGGATCGAACCGGCGCTGCAGAGGCTGTGGGCAGCTTCGCAACCCAGTGTTCAACTGCTGCGCCACCGGGGAGGCCCCCTACAAGAAGTCTTAAAGCCAAAAAACAACAAAGGAATGAAAAAAAAAGAACAGAATAAAGCAAGGAATAAAATCACAAAACAGACAAACAAAATGGCAAACACAGATGCCAACAAATCAATATTAACTCTAAATGTAAATGGATTAAATTCATCAATAAAAAGATACAGAGTAGCAGGCTGGATTAAATAAAAAAATCCAGGCTTCTGCTGTCTCCAGGAAACACATTTAATGACAAAAGATAAATGTAGACTGAAAGTAAAAGGTTGGAAAACAATCCTACAAGCAAATGGACTAAAAAAGAAGGAACAGTTATATCTATATCTGATGAAATAAACTCCAAATTAAAAAAAAGGTAAAAAGAGGCATAGATGAACACTACATTTTAATCAAGGGGACAATACATCAAGAAGATGTAACAATCATCAACATATACTCACCAATTGAAGGAGAACCAAAACATATTAGACAGTAAATTTCAGTTCTGAAAACAGACATTAAAGAAAATACATATATAGTGGGAGACTTCAACACCCACTCTCACCAATGGACAGATCAATGAGACAAAATATAAACAAAGACACTAGAGCCCTAAATAAAGATATAGAACTCATGGACTTAACAGAC